CGGGGTAGGGTCCCTGTAGCCTAGTCGGTCGTATGATATTGAAAAAAAATGTCTTGTTATAAAACGGAAAACAGACACAATGTTTTGTTACTGTTTTTTTTAGGTTAAAGTTAAATAATGTTTATTTTAAAGTTTGTTTGCATTTATTTACAGAACTAGATTCCTCACAGCTTCCTTGTGGAGTATCGCTAACGGCGTTACCTCGCCAGAATCAAGCTCCTACTCTCTCTATTTGGACCTCCTGGTGAGTTTAAAATTTGCGTAACACCTTTAAATAGCGAAATATTTCTCTCAATCATTGCATTCTCTTATGAAACCCCCTTTTTTAGTTTTAAGTCACGTTTATCATGCATAAGACAGATAGAAGCTGGTGAATTTCACAAGTGACTGTAAGAATTACAAATTTAGAAGACGAAAACGAATTTATAGATTGTCATTTTTCAATTAGACAAAATGGTATTTTGAATAGTGTTAGTACAGGAACGTTTACCATGATAGATACCTATCAATGTAAACTTGGAAAATCTGACCGTCTTCAAGAAAACCCAGAAGACGGCCTAAATCCGCCCCTGATGGTAAAAAGGAAATTTATGAAATTTCCGGGAAAACGTACATATACGAAAACGTGTACATAAAAGACAAAAGTGCATTGTGTATGTATACCTTTAAGCAAAGTACGTGCACGAGTTTCCCTTGTCTGGCTATTACCGGGAAGTAGTCACTGTGTGTGCAGTAAAAAAGCTATTAAGGGCCCCGTAAGTCGAAGGCATCGCGTATTGCGAATAGCGATTTCACATAGAGGCGACAATGTTTTATATGGGGCGAGTATGGGCGAGTTATGGAATCGAAACGCTTGCGCCCGGTTGCAATGCCCGTTGCTTTCGAGTTACGGGGCCCTGATAACACGCAGGCAGGTAAAAACGTGTACCAGGGGGGTACAAATCGTGTACCAGCCAAAAGATAAAATCAAATAAACTTTGAAACTATATTTATCATAATTCTTCTTCATATATCCCTACAGCTCAGCGATGACACTTGGATGTATGGAAGAATCGCCAGCTTCACCCCCGGGACTTCTGCCACGTGGGAACAGGGCGTGGTGACGGTCACCTCGGAGGTGGACATAAACTATGCTTACGTCTATGGCTTGTGTAGATATCGCACTGGGGAGGCATACTTTGATGACATGGTAGTTACTGCTAGTCCGTAAGCACTGCTAAAAAATGAACATGATATTCCATTTTTGCGAGTGTAAAATATATTTGGAGTGTTAGGAACGCCAAATGTCCCAAAGCGAGTACTGCTCAGAAGTCATGCAAGTCCCTTTAAAATTGTCAAGCAAGTCCCTTCAAAATTGCCAAGGTCAAATTGGCAGTATTACCGGCAATATAGGTTTTCCTAATTGGTTAGAAGGTGCAAATTGTTCCGAAAGGATAAGTAATTATATGTCGACTTACAAAATATTGGCTCATTCAGTTTGCTTAGCAGTCTTCAATATTTATTACTTTATATTTAAATAAAATTTATAAACAATCATTACATTTGCAATTATGGAAATGGTTTGAAACGATATTGAGGGACACCTTGAAAATTATTTTTGCCATCTGAAAGCAAATTTCATTTTAAAAGATTCAGTGAACTGTCTGAGAACGACGCTCATATTATATTGTTATTACTGCGCTTAACATAGGCTGCTACTTCAATCAGTCCTTTGTCTCCATCAGTGAGTTTCTATGCGACGCCGTGCTATACGATTTATTTCACCATTTCTTTTTCATTTATAACATGCAATTCTAGCATATTTACAGTTCGTTTGGTCGACGAATGGTCTACAAATTCCATATAATTGGGTTCTTGATCTCTGTTCTCTGTAATCACCACTACATTTTTTTAAAATTTTGTGAGAACAAGGGTTTGTTTGTTAGTTAGAAGTATTGACTCAATGATGTTATGAATCAAAGCGTTGAATATGATAGTTGAAAAATGTAAAATACAATGGTGTTTAGTCCGCTATTGACACAAGTCTTGAAAACGCATCACTGGTACGCTTTTTATGCATGTAAATGCAGCTTAAAAAACCCGGTATTGATCTTTACGTAAAAAGTATAGAAAGGAAGATCAAATTCCAATTCAACAGAGCTTCCTATTCATTCAATATCTCCTTTAACAAGTAAAACAGAACACGTTTTGGTGATTTTCCTGCTGTGGCTATTTGAATAAAGCCCTTTTTATCAATTTTGCGCACACAATTATAAAACCCTCTTTTGTAATGCTATTTTTAACATTCGTCATAACTTTTCTTTTAAACTACGATGTTTGCACATTGAAAATCAATCAATTGAGGCGATTGTTCCCAGGTTATAATTAGATGTTTTGAATTCACATGTGATTATATCATAATCTGTTAATTATTTTCGTACATCTCATTCTTTCTGTATGGATTTTAACCGGACGTTGATGTCTTGAATGGCCATGTAGAAAAAACTAGCGAAGACATCAAAACATCAATATTTCTTTAGTGATTAATTCCTCTGTAATTATATTGTGAATGTTAATTGTACAATGAAATGGTTAAATCCTTTCTATAGAAGTAAACCTCGATTTTGATGTGGTTGCTATGTTCTACTAAAAAGAATCTGTCATACTACATGTACCACTGGTTTATTGACCTTTTTTCGTGTTGGGAAGTAATAAAGTCAATTTCAACCTCAAAAGTTCTAGTTGGCAAGTTTTTGCAGTTCTTTCTGGGGGGAATAAAAACTCAATTTTGGGGCGTTTGCTGTGGTGTGTAGTACTTCCCAGAACCTGCCACACGTACTCAGGGCCCGGTTGCACCAACCAGTCGTAAGTGAGGCGTAGCAGTTGCGCCGGCGTAAACCGGGCGCAAAACGCTACGCCCGAGTAAAGCCAGTTGCACCAAATTAGAATAGTGCTTACGTCGGTCTTAACTTAGTCGTAAATTTACGCCTGCCAGCTAGGTGGTGTAAGTCGGTCGTAGCTCGTTTTCCACTATGGCTAGGCAAGCACAGAGAGAGTTTGATGACAATTATCGTAGTTAACGTAGAAAATGTGGGTTGTTATTTGTTAGTTTCTTACTCAAAACTTCCGTCTGTATAGCTTTGTTTTTAAAAAAACTAATTATATATATATATATATATATATATATATATATATATATATATATATATATAAGTGATTACTAAATACATTATATGTGTAGCCATGTACATGTATATGCATATGTTCAAATTAAATCTTACCACTCATGTAGGTACGTCTTGGCTCTCAGCAGTACGGTTTCTTTAATTCTTTTTCTTTTTACAATTTTTGACAAACCATAACTAACTATAGTCATTCTTTCTTCACATTTTATATCATTTATATTTTACTATATATAAACATAGAGACGAAAGCTTAAAATATCAACATTTTAAGGCTCATATAATACGTATTAGGTCTCTTGATTAATCTCCAAGATGTAAGCTCGATTGAATTAAATGATCTCTCACGGTGTAACCATAGATAAGAAGGTCATGAAATTGTCGGCACTGTTGTAGAAATATAAAAAGAGAGCAATGTTGGCGTTTTTGCATTATTTTCAGACTCAAAAGTTTCAATAACAAATGTGAAGGTGTTCAAATCCATTAATAGAAATATATACTGCCTCCAACGCGTTTTTCTCATTTACAACAGCATACTATAATAGCATACTATAATAATATTTTGATTCGGAATATATTTACGATTTTATTGCTATATATCCAAGGCAACAGCAAAGTTTACGTATTTAAACGTTCTTATTTCTAAATAAAAATGGAATAATGTAGCTTATGAATTTCTCCGTCTCTGAAATGCTCCTTTTGTGTTTATTTATGTCATCATTCCATTATGACTGCAGCTGAGATCTCCTCATTTGCCCAATTATACCATCCACGTATTGTTGGCCAGTGACGCAACGGAGCTTTACTCGGGCGTAGTTATGTCGATCAGTTTTTGTCTTGGTGCAACGGGCGTAAACAGGGAGAGTAAACCTGGCGCACGGACTCCAGGCGTTGCGGTTGACGACAGTCGTAGCCGAGTAAATTTACGCCCTGTTGGTGCAACCGGGCCCTGATTTTATGACCCTCTTTGTCAGGCCTACCCAACTACCAGACTCGGCACACAAGGATCCTGAATTAACCGGTATATCGGACCACACTACCTGTTTTCAAGGTGTGTGTCAGATCGTATCAGTCAGAACCACGACAGGATGAGCCCACGCTCGGTTGTTAGCTTGATTGGACAGTAAACGATTGTCGTAAAATCGCTATATTATTTTAAAACCGGGTGCATACATTTGAAAGTCACCTAGATGAACCTTAGACTGCCACATTAATCTAATGCAATGCAAAAAGCCCTATCAAAAGTGGTTAAAACATTCAAACCGAATGTCGTAAAGTCCCCATATACCCCCATAGAGACAATAAAATAGAGTACTCTAAAGTAAGAGTACAGTTTAAGGTTGTTCAGCCGAGCGTGGATGAGCCCGCAGTCGTCCTACAAAATTTGTTCTGGGGTATGATACTCCGAAATGCGATCTGACACACACCTTGAAAACGGGTAGTGTGGTCCGATATACCGGTTAATTCAGGATCCTTATGTGCCGAGTCTGGTAGTTGGGTAGGCCTGTTTGTACTGGGATCCAATATAATCATTTCAAAACCACAAGGCACAAATGCGCCCGTTTTTTTCTAGATGAAAAATGGTGCACTTTGTGGTTGCTGATACTTTTTCACTTAAAGGAATCGACTTTTCGATTATTATAACTAAAATTGTAACTACTTTTTAAACGAGATAACGGCAAATAATTACATTGGCATAAGTTCGGTCATACTTGATTATTCTTTACACGTAGAGATGTTATCTTGAATACCGTTTAGACTATCTTTCCTCTTTACATATCCATTCTGTCCGACTATTTTATCTACCCTACTTTCATCAAAGACAAAGAATATGCTTTTCCTTTTTTATTGAGATTTTATGTACAATCTTTTTCATCATTTTACAAACATAATGTAATACAAAGGTAATGACAATTTATGACATTACCACTTCAGGCGACAAAAACTTTTTCTTAGAATCTCTAAAACCGAACCGCGCATTCCCCATTGTCAAATACTCATGCTACAGAATACATTTTTGTAACAACCTTTTTTCAAAGCTTCTACTTGTACTGTGTACATGGTCGATCACTTCAATAGAGGTTATTTACAAATATATCATTTCCTCGTATAAATAAGATTTACAATTACGAAAAAAACTAAGGATGGAAACCACACTGGCACTGCTGCTGTTCATTACAAGCTTGAAGACGAGCAAATCCGGAGACAAGTGTGCTGTTCGAGTTCTCTTCATTAAACAATTAAGACATACCCAAGTTCAACTTTCTTAAATATAAACCACATACATAAATGATCTTATTAGTTTTTGATTATTTACGAGGAACAAGAACTTAAGTGTGAAAGCTATGTGAACTTTAAAAACTAGTGATTTTCCGTCTTCAGCGGAAGTTTCACGCCGGTTCTCTCACCGTCTACAACACACTAATTTTACACTTCAAATGTGATTTTAAGCTTCTTCTGCTGTGGAACGGTAATTATTCACAAATTTCACACACCCGTTTCAATTTATTCTGCTCAAGTTTCATCAGTAACAAGTATCCAACTCTTTTATTTTTCAGAAAAAAAAAAACACTTCAACTGCTTGAAACGAAACATATCAAGACGTAGAAATCAAAATATTTCATTCATTGAGTAACTACCATATCTACTGTCTACTAAAAGAAAAGCATACGTATCCTTTGTCCTCAAAAAATTAACTTTTATTGCCTTTCACCGGATCATGTATTATAATAAAATATAATTTACTCAGGTCCTGGTGTTTTTTTTCTATGTTAGATATATATATATCACCACTTTTTTTCAAAGAAAATCAATACATAATTTTCATTCCTCAAATGACTATATACCAAAGTTGCTCACAACATATTGAATACAAAATATGTACAATGTAACTCAAGCAATATACACAGCTCAGTTCAGTATAAACGGTTCTCCACTTCTTTGCTGAAAACTTCATTTCATGAAGTTTGTTGACTGTACTTCAGTTCCAAATGCACAGCCCATTTAATCAACTGAAATAGTTATCTAAAAACGACCTTGTCGTGCTAGGCACCAGGCTATTAAGCTTCCTCATCGCGTGCCCATCTGCATATTTACAAGCTGTCTAGTTCTGTTTTCTGTGAAGCACTCAAATTCCTTGCCCCTTATTTCATTTGCAAGAGTCCATTATGGTTTGAGAACTTCTCAAAGCAGCATTTTTTAAAATCAAAACAATATGTTCCACTTCAAAATGTTCCACCGGCAAGAATCAAGTTCAAACAGAATGTCCAGTTTTTCTCTGCCTTGATCCTGTTCTGTCATACTTAGTAAAACCATAGCAGTGCCAATGATAACATAACACAAGATGACCGACGTGTTGGTCAGTAGGATCCAGTAGTTCTTAATCCTTATCCTGGTCATCGTCTGGTGTATAAGTAGGACTGGTAGGCGTGTAAGTGGGGCTAGTGGGTGTGTACTTGGGGGAGGTTGGAGAGTATGTCGGACTGGTTGGAGAGTACTTGGGGCTGGTTGGAGAGTACGTAGGGCTGGCAGGAGAGTACTTAGGAGAGGTTGGAGAGTAGGTTGGACTTGCGGGGGAATATTTTGGAGAGCTGGGGCTGTACTGGGGTGAGCTTGGGCTGTATTCAGGTGAAGTCGGGGTGTATTTGGGGCTTGTTGGGGTGTAGGTTGGAGAGGCTGGGGAATACTTGGGGGAGGTTGGAGAGTATGAGGGGCTGGTTGGAGAGTACTTGGGTGAGGTTGGAGTGTACTGTGGAGAACTGGGAGAGTACTGAGGCGAGCTGGGAGAATATGAGGGGGAGGTTGGAGAATAAGAAGGACTGGCTGGGCTGAACTTCGGGCTGCTTGGAGAGTATGAAGGGCTGCTTGGAGAGTAAGAAGGACTAGTTGGAGAGTAACTTGGAGAGCTTGGACTGTAGGATGGGCTGGATGGGGAGTAAGAAGGACTGGTTGGAGAATAGGAGGGAGAGGTAGGAGAATAACTTGGTGAAGTTGGAGAATAACTTGGAGATGTTGGAGAGTAACTTGGAGAGGTGGGTGAATAGCTGGGGCTGGTAGGGCTGTAGGAGGGGCTGGTTGGAGAGTAACTAGGTGAGGTTGGAGAGTAACTCGGTGAGGTTGGAGAATATGATGGACTGGTAGGGCTGTATGAGGGCGAAGTTGGACTGTAACTTGGACTGGTTGGAGAGTAACTTGGCGACGTGGGCGAGTAACTAGGACTTGTCGGGCTGTAACTTGGGCTTGTGGGTGAATAACTAGGGCTAGTCGGGCTGTATGATGGCGATGTTGGGCTGTACGATGGACTCGTTGGTGAGTAACTTGGTGATGTTGGACTGTATGTCGGCGACGTTGGTGAATAACCTGGGCTTGATGGTGAATAGCTCGGACTAGTAGGAGAGTAACTTGGACTCTGTGGAGTCATCGCTGGCGAGCTTGGAATATATGATGGTGACGCAGGCGAGTAGCTTGGTGACATGGCTCCAGCAGGGCTGGGAATGTAAGGACTGATGGGCGATCCTGGTGATGATGGCTGTGGAGACCATGCTGGGCTATAACCAGGACTGAAGCCGCTAGCATCACTATGGGCCGAGGGTGAAAACCCAGCCGCCCCTGGTGTCATCCCACTGCCTATTCCTGGTGACCATGCTCCATATGACGGTGTTGCCCCCTGGGCCCAAGGTGTCATGGCTGGAGACATGGCACTGGTGGGACTGCCTGCGGAACCAAAGAACATACCTGTTCCTGCACCTGTGGATAGAATGTGATATGTGGAACATAAAACTTGTAAGATAAAATTATGCTCAGAGTAGAATCATGTATAACAACTGTCAGGAAGTCGAGTTCTTGCTTGTTAAAGAACTTGCTGCCAGGCAAAAAAAAAATTCCATAAAAATTTGTTAAATTTGGTTCAGTTTTCTTTTCAATTTTAAACATATTACAGAAAATACTGCAGTAGTTGGAAGTGATTATCTTTCATCAGAAATGGATCATACATAACAGAACCAAGGGTTTCCCTGTACTTTTCAATTCAACACTACCACTATAAAACCAGTAACTTACCAGGTCCCATCATTCCTCCACCCACATTAGTAGGAATTTCCATGCCAGCTTTACACTTCTCAGCATCCAGGAGGAGGTCGAAGGATCCTGTTCCAATTTTTCCCAGCTGTCCAAGCATGATACACTCAGACACACCCTTCATGGGGTCGAACTCGGCGTGTGCTGCGGCCTCCATCAGTACGTCCACCTGGGGGGGGAGATCAGAATACCTTTGCGGTCATATTACATTCACCATAGGGGGTAATCCATCAGAGGGGGTAAAATTCTTTAACAGTACTGAACAAACTGTCTCCACTAAACAAAAATGTCCACTTCTACACCCTCTGCCTTTCTTCCCTATAACTAAATATTTCATACAATCAAAATACTTGAATGTGCAACACCCATTCACACACATATTATGAAAGAATCCACCATAAGGAGGAAAATTCATTTTACCAAAATCACGGTACTCACCGTCTCTTCAAAAGAGCACCTGGCCAGAGCTCCAGTATCTTGTCTGTTGATGCCATGACGTGTGATGGCCATAAGATGGCCCTTGGCTGTCATGACGTCACACAACAGCGCCAAGTGACGATAGTTCACGTAGGAGCCGTCAAAGGAGATCACATGGTTCATTTCCTTCTCGATGGCTTTACGCACCGCTTCAATACCAAGGACCTAAAATAAGAATCAGAATAGGATATAACTTACAAAAATAAATAATGTATTGATCAATATATATATATATATATATATATATATATATATATATATATATATATATACCTAAAAGTTTAATAAGAAACTAAAACTTGATTAAAAATATCAATTTTCATCGATCTTCATCGTTTGTAGCCCTTTAAATTTTATAACCTATTAATTTAAGCAAAATACTTTTAAAACACTACAATATTACAAACAATATTTACTTGAATCAGATGTTTAAAACTCAATGCAGGAGCAAAACTTTATACTTCAATAAAAATTCCTTATGATTTCACATCTCATATTTTCTTAAAAAGACCAATTCTGGCTTTAACATCTGAAGACAGCATACTTACAGAGAAGATCTCCACGATGTCATTGGAAGTCGTCCGCACAGGGTCAACGTCGCGTTCACTGAGCACCTTCATCAGGCTGGTCCCGTCTGTCTCCAGGATCCACTCTGCTATTGCCTTAAACTCCCCCTCCTCTGTGATTGTAATACGCTTTTTGTCATCAGTGGTGGGCAGATGCATGTACACCTAGGAGTGAAAAAACGTTGGTGTATCATTACAACAGGTGCTTCATATTATAATGAGGGATTTGGTAGAGACAAGGATGAGACTGCCATTTCGAGAAAAAGTTGGAAAATATGGCAAGGGGTCCAGGGGGCCTCCTAAGCCAATCATATTTTTGGCTCCCAAAAACTTGGAAATCTGTCGACAGTCACAAAAATCTCATCCCTGTATAGATGATTTTAGACAAGAAAGGAAACAATCCCCTCCAAAGAATTTTCTTTATTTTTGAACAAAACAATTTTTTTTAAATAATAAATAAAAATTTTAAAACATACAACTGAAGAGAAAAATCTCATCTCTATCTGAAAAAAGAGTCTGAATTAAATTATTTTCCAATGAAGAAAAAATATTTTACAATTTGAATCCTGATCAACATCAGAGGGAGGTGCCTGTGTGTTTGCATAACTGTTGGAAGGGGGGGTGTATGGACTCCCTCTGCTTTACCTTAGATATCTGCTCTATTCCCTGCAGGGTCATGTCTGTTAACATGTTGGACTCGATGCACCTCAGGAACACATCGTCGTCCATCTTGTCCACCACCTCTTCCTCCTCGTCAAACTTCTGCCCGTCTGAGTTCATGATACGAATACGCAGAACCAACTTCTCTGCGTTGTCATCGTTGAAGATGCAGTTGAGATCATCACCAAAGCCTGGAAGATGAAAGACCAATATATCAACCCATGGGTTTAATTAAAAGCTCTCCACAACCCACTTTTTAAGCTGGCTGCTTGAGTTAGTGGTTATGATCTTTTTTCAAGATTCATATTAAAGATGTACAGAGCTAATTTCTGTACACTTGTTTTCAATTAGAATAATGAAATTTTCATATTATTAATCACCCTCCTCTCTTGATTCAAGTTCTTCATATTACAATAATGCTCTTAAAACACCGTGCAATTGCACACATTCTTACTTAACACACACAAAAAGAAAGAGAGAGAGAGAGAAAGAGAGAGAGTGTCAGTCAACCCTACCTGCTGTTATTTTCTCAGATATGGCCTCCATGGTCAGCTTCTTATCCGTCATACGTTTGCGGTCCAGTTCAATACGCAGCAACCAGGGGGAGATACGAGAGGGGTCAAAGTCCGGCATCTCGTAGTAGACGTTGACCCACTCCTGGTCCTCGGATATCACTGTATTCTGAGGGTCTGGGTCGTAGTAGATGGCCGTGTTTGCCGTGACTTTACGCAGAGTGGTGTGTTCAAGTCTGCACAACACATCCTGGAAGGAAAAATTGTGAAAGATTTCTGATAAAGAGATTTTATTAAAATTTGAGATGTTGCAAGACTTACAGGCCTCCAATTTCTGTCAAGCCTCAGAAAAATCTCCATCACTACTTAAGGATGATTCAACAGAACCTCAGAAATAAATCTTTTTGAAATTTTACCTTGGCTTTCTCAGCATCCCTCGCAGCCTGACCAATCAAGAACACTGTCAGAGACGGTGTTTTTGGTTTCTTGGAGATATTAATGATTTCCTTGAGACGAGGGACACCAAGGGTGACGTTCTTGGCCGAGACACCAGCGTAATGGAAAGTGTTCAGTGTCATCTGGGTGGCAGGCTCTCCCAGGGACTGGGCTGCAAGTGCCCCCACCATTTCTCCTGGGTTCACCTAAAACAAATGTATATCATGTATTATAACTTATAAGTGCCCCCACCATTTCTCCTGGGTTGACCTACAATGACAGTACATCATCCATAATGTATGGTAATTGCCCCCATTAATTCTGCTACCCAAATTAATATTACAATATATCACATATCATTTATCCTGGATTATTTGTTCACTGTCATTGGATGTCTGCTGGCAACTAGAGTCGAATCTTGTGGCTTTTCTCAGAACAATCCTATGCAGAAGTAACATGAACATATTCCTTTTCTCTTGTTGCTCTTCGTTGGATTTAAAATGTTCTAATATCCTTAAAGGTATATAAAAATTCCCACTCACCATAGCCTGATCAAAGCGATGTTTGATCTCTCCCAGCAGCCAATCAAAAGCCTCAGATGACAGCCTGTATTCTCCCGTCACTTTCTTGGCACAGAGCGTAGACCGCACCAGGCAGTTCATCAATATGGTGGCATTCTGGTTGGCCTGCTTGCTAATTTTGTCCTCTCCTTTCACAACAAGGAATTTCTTTGACAGCTCTCGGATGCCTGGCGAAATATGATACAAGGATGAAACAATGGAACAATTATTGTTGTGTTGACATAATATAGATTCATAAACATTAGTTAAAGCTGGAGGTGGCTCTGCAGCCACTGTTGTAAAATGTTTTCTATATCAGAAGAACCATTATCAATCACCAGTTCTTCACATAATATAGTTTTTACTTGCTATGTAAAATTTTCCTTTGATTCCATTTTATGAAATCTGAAACCCATGACTCTGACCCCAACAATGACCTCACCTTCAACAACCTTGAGAGGGTGGAGATTGGTCGGCTTCCTGTTGTCAATTCTGAACACTTTCTGGGCATTCCACAACAGTCTTTGCAGGTTGCATGGCAGCACAATCTGCAATATAACACAAAGTTTAACTAGTAAGTACTGAACCACTGAGCAATAAAAAACATGTTTTTCCTTTAGAAAAAGATCTGTGGATATTCAATTTTCATTTCAAGTATCCATTGTTTGACCAACAGAAAACTTACATTGTATTATCAATACTTAAGTAGCTACCTAGTCACCATCTTTTAATACACAAGATTTCTCACTCCACATGCCTGTATCATAGCAAAGTACGTTTTTCCTGTGACTGAGTTGTTCAATGTTTATTCACCTTACTGTCTCCCTTTGGGAAAACTTGTCTCAGTATCTCTCTGTCCTCCTTCAGCTGTTCCCATTCCGCCTCCATCTCTGCCAGGGCATGGGCATCACCCAGGAGGTCCTTCACCACCTCCTCACTGAGGGTTTTACGGAGATCTCTGAAAAATAATTGAGGAGCAAAAATAGTTAAATTCTATTTTCAGTAATATCTGATTCAGTCTTCTGATGTTTTAACTTTCCTGATTTTTTACTCACAATCATTTTGTCTTAATTTTTTTTCTCCCAATATTCAATGAACTGGATGAAAGAACACACAGTACTGCTGGAGCAAATTGTTTTCAGATTTTGGCAATGAAACGCATAATTTTACACCAGTAAGCCTTATCTATGATTCAAAGGAATTTGCCACAACAGTAGACTATATGTTCATACGATCATTTAGATCACATCACTGGCAGTACAAAGGCCATACAAACCTCTCATTGGAGACGTCAAATTTGAACTTCTTCTCAAAGGCCTTGTTGGAAGGTTTCAGGGAGGGGAGAGACTGGAACTCCACATACTCCCCGGCCAGCCCGTCCTCTCCGTACCTCAGCTGCATCACCTGGTCCACCTGGTTTCTCAGGGTGCCATCATAGCGCACCATGACACTCTCCATAGCCTTGATCAGACGACGCTGGATATACCCTGAGAAAAGAGCATAAAAAGGTTAAATAAATACAATTTTATCAACAGTATGAAGGCATCTTGTTAGACACTGAGTAGTTGGATTTTAGCTGTTGTTTGAGGAAAGTATTATAATTACAACAGTTTACTTTTGAGTGCAAAGCGCATCTGATGAAATTCTTCGCTGGTACAATTTCGTATCATATTTAAGAGAAGACTGCCATCATGATGGTTTATTATATGAATTGGCTCAGAAAATAGAGTGGTGTCCAATGAGCATTAATTTTTCAATTCCAAAAAAAGATGACTGGCAATGGTGGGAGCTGCTGATTTTTACCCTTCAAAGCTTTCTGTCCAAGAAAAACCCATGAATATCTCAAGAACTCACCTGTTTCTGCAGTTTTGACAGCAGTATCAATCAACCCCTCACGTCCTCCCATAGCGTGAAAGAAAAACTCTGTAGGTGTCAGCCCGGCAAGGTACGAGTTCTCTACGAACCCTCTGGATTCTGGCCCGTAATCATCCTTGATAAAATGGGGCAAAGTACGATGGCGGAAGCCAAACGGGATACGTTTACCCTCAACGTTCTGTTGTCCTACACAGGCAATGACCTGAAAGATGTCGTTTTTAATGTCTCAGGTCCAGATAGATGGTAATATGAATATTGGAGGTTTTTGTCTATTTTGACTTTCCAATTTTGTAAATGCAAACCAATTTTTAAAGTTTGTTACAAACTTGATTTTAATCTTGAGCACATTTTGTGTGTAATTCTTCATACTACCAATCCCATTGCTGAAATTTTTAACATTTTATTTTTATTGTAATTGAGAAGCAGAACCCTTTAAAAAGTTACCTGTGAGATGTTAATTTTGGATCCTTTGGCACCAGACACCACCATAGCTTTGAAGTTGTTGTACTCAGACAGAGATTTCTGGGCACTGCTTCCAGTTTTGTCACGAGCATCGTTCAGGATTCTGTTGACTTGGTTCTCAAAAGTCTGCCTCAGGGTGTTGCCTGGGGTGGGCTCCAACTCGTCATTGTGAGCCTTCTCTATCACTTCTATCACGTCATTCTAGAAAGGGAGAAAGAGAGGAAGAGAAAATTACAAAGAGCACAACTTTGAGAGCTTTCAATACACTGGACTTTTGGAACCTACTGACCCAAAAAAGAAACCCCCAGCTAGTATTTAAAAACTTTCTTTAAAAAAATACGCTCACATTGAAGATTGAAAAATCTTTGGCAGTACAGATATTTATAAGTAATTACCCTGCTTGTGCACAAAACTTTCAAGCCTACCCAACTTCCCAACTTGAGGAAATTTCTGACCCGTTGCAGAAACAGTGGCCAGTTACTAAACAAATCTACAAAACATTACTACTGCAGCATCTATTACAATGATATATAAATGGGTCCAGTGTTAACATTACACAACTGCCAGCCACAACCACCACAATCCCCCGTACCTTAGCCTTCCTAATAGTGGTCTGGATGTCCACATAGGTCTGGGGGTCAGCAATGGTGTCCCCAATACCAATGGAGTGACCCTCTATAAGAAGCCAGTTATTGACCACCATCTGAAGGTAGCCGTAGAAGAGGCCAGCCTCCATGGGGCCGTTCTCCAAGAACAGGATGTGGATGAGAGACCCAGCTGATGGACCTACTGTCTTCTTACAGATGATCCCGCTGATCAATTCTCCGTCTTCTATCAGCACCTGGAAGATGTGGGGAAAAGGAATTATATATTTTGTTTTTCAATAGATATTCAACATCCTCATCAGGTCTAAAAGTGCCTGGAAAATGAATAATGCAAATATGTTTTGTTTTTGTATAGATATTCATCATGATCACCTGTAAGCACCTGTAAGATGCGAAGATAATGAATCAAAATGATGCTTGTTTTGTTTCTCTATTGTTAATTCCCTTCCATCATTTTTTTTAACCTGTCACCAAAACTGAATAAACTTTATTTCCTTGTACATATTCCTCTTCCTTTATTTCTAAGAGCAAAAAAATTCTATTTGTTATCATGGATATTACTTTTCACTCTTTCACATAAATCTTTGAGTTTTTTTTTTTTCTTCTACTGACCTTGGTATCACCAGGTGACAGCCACTTGTATGGACCATTGTCCTCCTCGTCTGGATGCGTGCTGTGCGTACGAATAACGTTTACACGTCCTGGAATGACAAGACTAAAGAGTTGTTTTCCCGTCCACAGTGGCCTGGGTTTCAATATGGCTGGCATGGGCATGCGACCGTTCCACGAAGGCAGGTACATCAGGAGCTTCATCATGTCAGCCTGACAGGAAGGAAAAAATCCAGTTTTAGATTTAATTTTTATTGTTTAATGATTAAAACGACCACTTGAAGAATCAAACCAAGTTTCTCGAAAATTGCCATTTTTTTGTCTAGTTTTTCTAATGGGTATTTTTTTTTTAAATTTAAATGGATACTACTACACTTTTCCTTTTTATTGTGAGTTTCTCAAGTTTCTCAAAATGTCTTACAACCAACTTCAGATTTACATTTTTCTTGAAAGACACTATTCAGCTAAAACAAAAATCATACTATGGCCACACCACAGTATAAACTGTTATTAAATATCTTATTTACCTTTTCAATAAAGACATCTCTTTTGGTCATCTTCCTCACAGCAGTGAGCGTGTCCTGTACAATGCCCATGACGGGTCTGTTAGCCTGGGGCGTGACGATCATACGGGGAACCAGCGCCAGTGACATGACCTCCGCCCGTGTCTCTACAGTCTGCGGTAAGTGCAAGTTCATCTCATCACCGTCAAAATCAGCGTTGTAGGGGGTGGTCACACTGGCGAGAAACAAAAAGTTTGTATTAATTTGGAAAATTTATTCTGTTTACAGTTTGATTACAGCAATTCAAGTGTTAGTGCATGTATTTGTGGGGAAGCAATTCCTTCAGGAAAGCATGATGTTAAAGGTGGACACTCAGCCCTGCCATGTTCTATTTTTTTATTATTATTATTAATTTTTTTTTTTGTGCAATTTGTGAAATGAGCATTCTGGAATGTGAAGCTTGATAGCGGGATTTGTTTACACCTGCCAATCCAGCCCGGGTAACCAAACAGTATCATTAACTCTCCAAATAACTGCCCCACAGACCTCTCCCCTCCCCACTCTTATCAATATAAAACTGTTCATGCTCACCTGAGATTAAGCCTGAAGGTGGACCAGGGCAGAATCTTGGCTCTGTGACACATCATGGACATTTTATGTAGTGTGGGCTGTCTGTTGAAGATGACGATGTCGTTGTCATGCATGTGACGCTCCACCTGAACAAGAACGAAATACAGTCAGTGGCTTTCAGTTATTAAATTATCTATCTATTAAAAACTCTGAAGTGTCTATAAGGCCAATGGAGGAATGGCTCATGATAAGGTGTCCTAAAAGCAAACTTGTCTTTATATCTGGGCATTTTTTTGTCCACTCATTCTATTAATACTAATCTTCAATTTTACAAATCATGCCCATGAAGTGAAATTTTATTATTTTTTTCCAAATACATATCGGCAACTGGTTATCTATACAATTATCCTTTGTAAAGCTTATTTCTATACTTAAATGTCTGTCAAATGATCAGAATGACAATTTTATCTCAACCTGAAATCTATCAATTTACAATTGCACCAGTATCTACTCAAAGATCTGACCTTGTATCCAATTTGTAGATGTAGGTCACTGGGTTTGGGGTGATATCTCAGGTCAATTCTGTCCCCGTTATCGCGGATGATGTACTTGGCTCCTGGGTACTGACTATCCCCCCTACGCACCAACTCCTGGAGGCTGGCACACAGTGAGAATAACATGGTGAACAACTTGTATTTTTAAATTTTTTTCATTTATTTACTCACTCATTTTTCTGTTAGTTTTCATATATTTTCCTTCAGACTGATTCTTTAGTTCAGAGTTAAACAAATTTTTGTAAAAATTGTTTTGTCTTAATTTTTTTCATTTATTCATTCCTTAATTTATTTATTCACTCTAGTGAGAATAACATGGTGAACAACTTGTATTTTTTAAACTTTTTCACTAATTTATTCACTCATTTTTTCTTATTTCAAATACTTTCCTTCAGTCTGATCCTTTAGTTCAGAGTCAGATAAATTACTGTAAAAATTACATTTTGTCTTGATTTTTTTCGTTCATTTATTCCTTAATTTATTTATTTATTCACTTATTTAGCTATTTACTCATTTTCCTATCTATTATCTATTCATGCATTCATTTGTTTCAGTCCAGAGTCAAGAAAATTTCTCTTTACTTTATATCATCTCAACTGCATGACTGTATAATAATCTCATACACTCCCTATCTCAGCTACTTACTGGTCAATATTAAAAGGTGTCACAATCTCTGGATAGGTCAAGTTCTGGGCTATGGTCCGAGGGACCCCGACCTGGTCAATCCTCAGGTTAGGGTCAGGCGTGATGACCGTACGGGCAGAGAAGTCCACTCGTTTACCCATCAAGTTTCCACGGACTCGACCTTCTTTACCCTTCAGTCGCTGTTTGATGGATTTTAGAGGTCGACCAGATTTTTGTGTTGCCTATTTATGGGAAAATTAAAGATTAGGTAAATTTCAAATAATGCAACTTTCGCTCTCTCACTGCTGGCCTAAAGATAACCCATGACTGGTAACATTTGTACATGTACTGTAGGTGTTGTATTAAAAACACAAACCGAGAAGTGATCACACCTGATCCAAACAAAAATTGACACTTTTTTAACTCACCAGTTAAAAAACCAAATACAGCAAGAGATACGAAACCAGTATTCCAAACTGAAGAAAGATCAACCCTCAGTGAAAAAAATTAGAGATGCATTTGCTTATCACTGTGTGTTCAAAAGATCATTTTTCATCATAGGGTTGTTGAATGTGAGTGTAAGCATGTAAGTTTGGCATACACAGATATATATATACTTTACTTTGGACAATGTTCATATAACACACCTAACAATTTCAAACTTTGTTTACAGCAATTTATTTGGATCAAACAAAAAATCTGACAGTATAACCCGGACTGCAATTTGAGTATTAATCAAAGTATGCTACAAAAAAATCAATGAATGAATAAATATATATAAATAAATAATTAAAAAAATAATTAACAACAATAACAAAACGGGTACTTTGTATCTGTTGCTGAGAAGTTTCATACCTTTGGCAGCCCTGGCATCTCGTTGTCTGTCAGCGTACACACATGATATTGTAACATCTTGGTGTCCTCAGATATGATGTGGGCGGCTGCACCGTTCTGTTCATTCTTCCTCAGCTGATTGTTGGCTTTCACTATGTCTGCCAGCTTGTGGGTCAAGTCATCCTGAGGAGTTCAATTGAGAATAAATTTAAAATAATTTTTTTAAACAAAATCTTAATTATTCTTATTGGAAAAAAGTAAATAATATACAGTCTTATCAAGTACCAAAACAGTGAGTACAGCAATGAACATGATTATTATGTAAAGTTTATTTTCCAAGTGCCCTCAGAAAAAAATTAGAGTGTAAGTCTTGCTATCATGCTGCTGTCAATTGACAATTTAACATCACAGGGCAAATAATCATGGAAACACCTGAGAAAATACACACCTGACAAACTTGTGTTTACAAATCCTTGTATCTTGGTCAACTCAAGCATTAACTTTTTTATCATACCAATGAATCTTTAAAATCTAAATTCCTCATAGTGCTCTGAAATTTTGACTTCATGGAAATCTTAAGTGGTTCTATGTGATTCTTAGTGTCCTTTTGCATTTTGATGATTTGCATATCTTAAAGCAGAGAATCTTTAAGACTTAAAGAAAGAGGACCTTAAAGACTGTTGTCCACTCCTACCTGATTCCTGGCTGACCCGTGCATGACCACTGCCGGCCTCACAGCCAGGGGTGGCACGGGCATCACTGTGACAACCATCCAGTCTGGGCGAGCAAATTTTGGATCCATTCCAAGAATTATGCACTCCTCATCTGAGATGCGTTTGAACACTTCGTGAACGCGCTCAGCCGACAGGCTGATTTTCTTTTCTTGGGAGTCTTCATTGACGTGCTTCCATTCTGCTGTGAGTTCAAGACCCATGCGGCGGATTTTAGGCTGGTAGCGACCACAGCCTCCATGGCCCTACAAAACAAGAAAACCATAAAATATTTCTTTTCTCAAAAAATCATTTTTCTGAATTCGTCAATCTCGAAGAACTGTCTTAGGTTTGGCATTCCCATTTGCCTTTCATACTCTCTAAACAAACCCATGCCTTCAACTTTGTGTTGAACCATAAACAAGATTTAAGACATGGCAATTTGTACTCCAATTTCATTAACCATCAACATTTTTTTCAAAGGAAAAAAAAAATCCAATGTTACAATAAATGTCTGCCTCTAAATGAAATGTTTTTGAGTCTTTAATTTTATCAGAAACTGCTATTTTTCAGTATTTCCTACTTTACAAAAGTCTGAAGAAAAAACATCACCTTTTTGGCATCCCCTTCGCCTTCTTCTGGCTCTTTGTCCATTTCGTCTCCTCCCTCACAAATGTTCTTCCCTTTGCACAGGTCGTAAACATGAGCCAGTCTTTTCCTGGGCTGACCTTTGGACCTGCCGATGATCTCTTTGATTTTAGGGTTGTTCTGAAAATAAATTCATGCCACATAAATGTCCGTAGTAATAACAGCAATAAGTCTGTGGTCAACACAAACTAGCAAAAAATTTTTTTTTCATAATAAAAAAACTCCATCTGTGTCTGATATACTTACTGCATCCACCAGCATTTTGGAGCAGAAGAAGCAGACACATCTGAGGATCTTGATGGTCTTGGTGAGGAAACCCACATGGTAGACGGGCTTGGCCAACTCGATGTGAGCAAAGTGACCTGGGCACTCGGACATGTTGCCTGCACACGTCTGACACCTGGTGAGGAGAAGAGAAATTACTGGTCAAACTATTATAGACTGAAGAAATTAGATAAACATACCAAAATATTCTTTCCTACCATGGACACTCCTCTTTTGGCATCAACATGACCCTTGTGGTCCAACACCCCCCCCCCCACCCTGCATTCCGCTACCCTATGTTTATAATTTAGAGGCACTCAATCATATTTCTTAACACTTAAAACATTTACAAAGCTAGACATCTTGTTTAATTAACTTAAATGATTCAAACAACATTGTAGTAGCACCTTCATCCCCATACCGCTCAAGTTCCACCTCCCCTTCTTCCAACTACTCAATCACAGGTACCCCCTCCCCCCTCCCCATAATCCTCAGTCACACTTTAATCACTGGATTTCTCCGTCGCCCAACTTCTCCCACCTGGACATTCTGTCTGTGGTTCCCTGTCTCGGGTCCATGAGACCTCCCAGTTTGGGGCGTCCCCCCTCCATGGTCTCTGGGTACTTGATCTCCGCCACGGACATACGCCTCTGGAAAGATGAGAATTATTATGATTTAATGTTTGAATCAAAAATGAAATTAGCCCCGACAAGTTTTGGCATGTAAAAAAATGCAAAAGTATGCAAAACAATTCAATTTTGAAAAAATAAACATGCTGCAGATATTTTACATTTCAAAATAACCATTTTTTGTATATTATTTTATGGTTATTCTTTAAAATAACAAGTTTCACGAAATTGCAAGTTATATTAATAATTACTATGTAATGCCATGTTAGTGCCATGAGATTCTGTTGGGATTTTAGTTCTGGGAGAGTCAGTTGGAAAAAATCACCAAATAAATTGATGTCTAGAATAGATGGGTAAATACTGTACTAGTAAATGGGAAATTAAAAATTGACCAAAACAGAAACAAAAGACAGTATCAAATTTCTTTGAGCTAACAAAATTAATATATCTAAAGCCATTACATGCACCAACCAGGAAAAAAAATCTACTTTTCTTTTACTAAAAGTTTTAGACATGTTTTATGCTTGCACTTTGGAACCAGATAACACCTCAATGTTATCATTATACGTTTAATGTTTAACTTTATCGTGCCTTCTATGAATGTTGTATATTGCTTTTTCGTGGTAATAAAGATATTTATCATCGATTACATAATATTGTGCATCTGATGTATTTTTATATTACTAAACCCGGCCGGGTTTAGTATTTGATTTTAATATCGTTATCATTATCAAATAAAGAATGTGACAAAAATATCAGTCTCCACATTAATACAAACTGAAGGTCATGCTTAATGAAAATTGCATGTATCAGCAATCTTTTTAAACAGTCATGATTTCACTGAACAATGTTATTGTGTTATTGACAAATTCGCGCCGCATGTTTTGTCATGTTCACACATGCTACTACGCTCTTCGCGTGTCCAATGCAAAGCAATCAGTTCCAACCACCAAAAACAATCTGATCGGATTATTATCTTAATCATGAAAAACCTACGATTTCATCAGGACTGAGGATCCCAAACTGCACTTTCTTGCATTCTTTCAACGGAGCAGTTGAATCTCCCGTCGCCATTTTGCTTTTGCGTCACGATGTCGACGTGCGAACAAATTTGATCTTCCTCGACACAATCTGTCGCTTAATCCGTTTTTCCCGGGATCAATGAGGTCCTGGGACCTCTACAAAAGGAATTGTTATATTGGTGACTTGATTAAATAATACTTATTACAAGAAGTAGTTGATAAAGTTCCCACTTTTCTTTCTACTTCTTCGCAGAGGGCTCTGTAAGAGCCTTCTGATGATCGTGACCTAGATCACACTACTTATAGAGAAATTTTGTGAGATGCCCGGATGTCATGTCACATGGCGGAAAGCTTTCCCTTTTGAGCCTCATTTTAGATTACCTTTAAATATGGACGAAATATAATGAAAACGAGACTTATACAGTGTTCTGATGGCGCTGCATTGTGATGCTAACCAAGAAACGCATTTGAATTATTCATAACATCAACCCGTATAATTTGATGTTTCGAAGCTGTGCATACAATTTTAGTTATTAGAAGAATTTAGCTGTGCAAATACGTACTATTGACTTATTTAACTAAATTTCTTCGTTTTATAATTTTTGTTGACACTGGCCCATCTTGAAAATGGAAAAGGAACCAATCGCGATGGAAGAGAGCAGACCGCAAGTGTGTATACAAAAGGTAGAAGTGCAAAACCAACGACTTGTAGACGATCGTCTGCCCGTGGGAAGAAGCGGTCATGTATGTTTATCGGACAAAGCAAACCTCTATATTTATGGAGGCTACAATCCGGTAGAAGGTCCATATTATGCTCAGTTCCCCAATACTATACCAAATACCCCGTCAAGGCAAGTGCTGGCAGAACTTTGGAAATTCAACTACACTACCAAAAAGTGGGCGGAGGACGTTTCCTCTGATATTCCACGAGCTGCAGCTTCTTCTTGCGGCACAATCGGCAACGGCAAAATCCTAGTCTTTGGCGGGACAGTCTTTCCATTCGGCCATGTCATGAGCAACGATTTGCATTTATACGACATTAAATCAAAAACTTGGTCTAAAGTCTCTACGGTCGGTGTGGGCACCGCTGTCCCCAATAAAGCGTATGGCCAGAGCATATTTCTACATGGCAAATACCTCTACGTGTTCGGTGGTGCTGTCAGTTTTTACGCAGAACCTGTATCAGAGCTGCACAGGTTAGACTTGAAGACCAAGGAGTGGCAGAGCCTCAGTCCCCGGGGGGTGGGACCCAGGGGGAGATATAAACAGGAGGTGGTCACAGACAGTCACAGGTCAGTGGCACCCTAAGCTTAGAGGTATCTCTGCATGTGGCAGTACTTGGTTCCTCAAATGCTGCATATATATATAATGCTGCATATATATATATATATATATATATATATATATATATATATATATGTAAGTTGACCACTTTAAAAAAATGAAACATGTTTAGCTCAAAATGTTTAAAAAGAATAAAATAATAAAATGTGGAGAAAGGGCAGATGTGCTTTGGTTGCTTTGTCTCTAGTGTTCATATTTACATTTTTAAAAATTCTCTACNATTAATAATTATTAACTTGTCCAATGAAACGATCATCAACATTTCCGAAACGATCAAAAATATTTCCAACCGGCACAGTGAGTGCCAAATAACCGTGCCGTGTGGAAAATTATTAATCGTGCCGGGGAGAATAAGATCGTGCCGGGTGGAAAAATTCCGGAAAAAAAATAAACGTGCCGGCACGTTTATTTGGCACTTCAGAGTACTGTATTGCTTGGGTATAAACACAATCAACAAAGTTAACAATATGTACATTTCCGTTACATCTCTGTAATGGTATCTCTCAAATGGCAATTGGGATTAAAATTAAATAGAAAGTAGGTCAAGAAAAGATTGAGAAAAAGATAATAAATAGGTAGTTGAAGCCATCCTTGTTCTGTGGGAATCTTCCTTGTATCATTGCAATGTTAGGGCAGATAAAATTGATGTTTGTTGACCAGCAGTGACAAGGATGGTAGCTGAAATTTATTTTTATTTTGGGTTTTTTAAATATGTGATATTTAACAAGCAGTTAAAGCTTCAGTGCTGTTGTTTTTTTCTATTTGTTTTAATTTATTATTTATTATTTTTTTGTACTAGTAAGGGTGGACTAGATGCCAAATCCCTTGGTATAAGTGATTTTAGAGTAAAAAAATTAAAAGTTTTTTTTTCAGATGAAATCAATTGTAAATTTCTTCCATTTACCAGGCCAATAAAATGCCCAATGTATTTTTCAATTTTTGACATTTGAAAAGCAATAGGTACAAAAATTCTGATATCCTCAAAATTAGGGTCGTTTGCAGTTGTAAACCATCTTTTCAATTTTGCCTGGCCTCACGGTATTTAAAGCTTTCTGGAATAATTAGAGCTTAATCTTTTTTCATTATGCTGGTCTTGAATAATATATAAAGAAAATACACATTCGTATCACTTTTTCACTTGAATTGGCTTATAGAAGCAACATGTATGAATAATTCACAGTTATAGCTGTATGAGAACACAAACCATTGTGGACATATTTGCATTTGAAAGTGATAAACTAATTTTTTCATGTACATAAAGCACTGCAAAAGGTATGAAAAGCAAATGGTTGAATAACTCTGTACTTAGTATTTTTATTTGACATGAAAAAAGCTCTTGAATCTACAATTGTATATCTGGGCCTACGTGCTTACTGTACATTACTTTCAGAAAAATATAAGTAAATATGATAAGGCCAGTAGTTGATTCAAGCAAGAACTTAATTCATATATATATATATATATATATTGAAATAATAACTGGAAAGGGTGCTGGGGATTTACTAGTAGTTTGACATACTAGTAGAAATATTAGGAGATTTTAGAAAAAAGCATGTGTGTCAAAGGGTGGATTGTAACTACTCTTTGAATACAGTTTTTTGTGCTATGACAGACCTACAGTACATATACTATCCACATTCAAATTAGAGTGTGATAAAAAAAATGTGCTTTGTCTTTTAAATATCTTTAAAAAGTGAAGTGTTATTTTTAATGTTATCAAGATTATGTTTTAATAAATATGAAGAGATATCAACTGTGCATTAAAATTGCTATTACTGGCGATTTGATAGAGCTAAAGACTGGCTTCAAAATGCCAATATAATCCTTTGACTTATGATTCCTGAGTGTACATTACCTGGATGAAACGGACATATGCATATATATATATATATATATATATATATATATATATATTAGACAAGTTACCCATTTAGGTCTAAATATTGTATTTTATCAGTCATTCAGTCCTTTATGGATTTTTGGGGAAAAAAGGATCATTGGTCTTATTTAGCTGTACAGGTTGATTGAAATTAAAGCACCTCTAGATGAACAGTTTCTTCTCCTTTCCCCCAGGTTCTACATCCTAGGAGGCGGCCATCTTCTGGGAGTTGAAGGCTTGGATGTACTGTGTACCTTCTCTTTTGAAGACAATGCTTGGGAGGAAGTCTCCACGCTCCCAGATAGGCAACATGGCTACCCAATGCCCCGAGCGTGTTTCGCCTGTGTCCAGTGGAGGGACGATGTTTATATATTTGGAGGCCGCCATTATGCCGTTCCCCATACAAACCAGGTGTTAGGTGATATCTGGCACCTGTCGCTGAGGTCAATGCAGTGGACAAAAATGGGGCGAGATTTACCAAAGCCAACTTACTTCCAGAGTGCTGCATCGCCGTATAAAGGACTTGCATATGTGTATGGTGGAGTCATTAATGAGAATACTAGGACATCAGATTTGTATGAAATCCAAATAGGTGTTCTCAGTCTAGCTGATTTATGTTGGAGAAGACTGGTTGATTTGCACCCTGATCTCTCCTCGTGTGCCAAACAGCTTGCTGACCTAGGGGTACCTCAAGATTTTATTGAACGGTTATGATAAATATTATCTTATATTAATTATTATCCCATATAACAGAAAATCAATGTTTAATATATATGTATTTTTTACACTTATACCGCATGTTGTGTACCTATTCAGGATTTTTTGTGAAACAGATCTTCTCAATCTTTTTTTTTTCAAACAAATATTCTAGAATATGTAGGGATTGTTTTTATTATCCTTTCTTTTAATCTAGAATGGAAAATGTTCGCTGGTGCATGGTGCCACTACATTTTATTGGATTGAACTTTCTGTAAAGGGATAGTTAGCAATGGGTATTGATTAAAATTTAAGATATATTCTAGAAAGTATATGTTTTTGTAATTTATTAAATTTTTATCTATTTGTTTTGGGATTGGAAATAAAAATGGTGGCCAGAGGGAAGGATTTGTTGATAAAAATATAGATTTGGTCGCCTTTTTGGGTTGATCTACCTGGTATCCTTATCTTATAGACAGTAATCACTAGATTCTGCTAGGATTTCTATTGATATTTTAGCAAATGTGAAACATAAACTATAGGGGCTATGTGAAAAGAAAAATGTAAAATGTTTAATTTTTTGTGTCATATTTATCCCTGATTTGATTTAAAGATTTGGTTTGGATGTAATCATTTCAAAGTAATTTATTGACGATAAATTTTATCTTCGGTTGCAATCAACTAATGCCAAATGTTGTTCTTAATGAACAAGTTATTAATTCGCAACTGTTACAGCTATTTAAAACCTGCAAACAGAGAGTGATGATTGTAATGCTGATATTTCTGAAGGGTGGTAATATAGTTGACAGTCCACCATGAATAATTTTTCTTTGAGGTTGTTATTAATGAAATTTTTCAAGTATGTATACTAGTGTATTAGACAGACTCAATTGAATATGTCATTTTTTTAAAGAATAATGAATGCAGTTTACTGCTGTGGGTTTAATTTTTCAATTTTGTCAAAGGGCAATATATTATCAAGGGATCCTATTTATTTATGAGGATGTAAATGTGCCAAAAAAATTGATCCTGAAGGTTCTAGCAGATGTTGGTTATTAAAAATATTTCGACTTTTTAAAGTTAAATTTGTTAGGTTATGGATAATATAAGTATAAAAGGAGTTGAATTTTTTTCCCCAAAGTTTATCTGTGTTCCTCTCTTTGCTATAGCCATATCAGGCATGTTTTTAAAGGACGCATTTATACACGATATAAATGGTCGTGTCTGATCTTATCTGACACAAATTATATTCTAGCTGTTGAATTGGTGTCAGGTTATTTCATAAGATCAAATATCCTAGTTAAATTTATATCTATGTTTTAGCACACATCAAAAGTGTATAATATTTAATAAATATGTGGTGCTTATAAAAATGTATATTAAATTTATGTAATAGGAAATGACATTAGATTACTAGTCAGAGCAGATGAAATAATGCACTAAAGACAAAATAGGAATGGTCATTTTCCGTTTTTAGAAACTAATTGCTAGTCAGACATTATTTCTTTATGCAAGAATTGTAATTTTGAACAGAAATGTACTCACTTAAATTTAAAAGTCTGCTCCCATAGCAACGGATACTTGTTTAAATATAATTAACTTAAATCCTGTTTTTAAGGATCTTGCTGTAACTATCAAAGAGAATATGAAAATAAATATCATTCAATATTTTTTCCTTATTTTGAGCAAATTTGCAATTTCCAAAAATTGCATCTATCCTAGCTATAGTTATATCATAATTTACCTTAAGTGTCTATTTTGTTCCTTCTTTCATCAGTATTATTTATTTTGATTTTATTTATTTAAAATTATACATATATGTTTGCACTGCTTTAAGTGAAATAAATAAATGGTTATTTTATTTTTATTTATTTATTTTTAAGAACTTCGTAGCAAGAGTAATTCACATAGCTGAATAATAGATGGTGAGTCATGTTGAATTTATCACGCGTATTTATAATCTGTGAGCTTTGTGTGACCACGCCTATTTTATCTTGCTCTTATGTGAAAAGAGCCCAGAAAAGGCACACCGAAAACGAGACTGTTGACCTCACACCCAAGGAAGCCATTTTACCTGACAGGTAGCGCGTCAATGAAAGGTTTATTTTATAGCGATCATTTGGGAATTTTTGTCAATAGGTGACACCGGTACACTTAGAAATAGTGAATTCAAACAGGGAAATGCCCAAGAAGTAGAGTAGATCGTTCCAGTTTCCAGCAGATCACGTCAAATTTCGAGCCCGCCGTGCCAGGTGTCATAAAGTTTTGGGTCGTGATTCACACAGGTCTTGAGTACGTCAACTGTGAAAAAGTTTTCTGTATCTTAAAAGTTTATTCGGAACTTAGCAGAACAACTAGCAGAAGATGACCATGGGGGATGAAGCGCTGTTTGCCTCCATGGTGATGCCGGTGGTGTTTGGACCTATTTTAGAAAAGGTGAGAATTTCATTTAAAAAAAATAA